TGGGAGTGCAGAAAGGAAGCAGTCAGGGCAAGGCTGGCTTGGAGCACTGGGAGTGCAGAAAGGAAAGCAGTCCTGTGTGGATTTGCAAATAAAGTGACTGGATTATATGCAATTACAAGGACTGTGCATGTTTTTGCCCTAGAGGACCGTGCTACCTGCTGACAAGGATCGCAATATATATATATATATATATATATATATGTGTGTGTATAATTACAATAATAAATAAATAAAATAATAAAATAAATACATAAAATATTGAAACAAAATTTTATTAAAATTATATATTCATATGTAATTTCATTATAACTGTATTTTGTTATTAATATATATATATATATATATATATATATATATATATATAGGTAACAAAATACACTTAGAATGACATTCTATATATATCTATCTACATATAAAATACAAATAACCGCAAATATATATATATATATATATATATATAGATAAATATAATTACATAAAAGATTACATTAGTATACACATAGAATTTAAATACCTATAAATGCATATATATTAAAATTCTACGTGTATATTTAAGTAATCTTTTAACATAATTATGTGATTTGATTAATTAAAATTTGATTGACATGCCTGACAACACAGGGAGAAAGTGCAGAGAATTTAATTCGCAAGCACTATATTTGACCCTGTAACTCTCCAAGACACCATAAAACCTGTACATAGGGGGTACTGTTTTACTCGGGAGACTTCGCTGAACTCAAATATTAGTGTTTCAAACTGGTAAATTGTATTACAACGATGATATTTTAAGTAAAAGTGCAGTTTTTTGCATTTTTTACAAACAAACGGCACTTTTATGGACTATATTATTGTTGTAATATGTTTTACTGTTTTAAAACACTAATATTTGTGTTTAGTGAAGTCTCCCGAGAATAACAATACCCCCCATGTACAGGTTTTATTGTGTTTTGGAAAGTTAGAGAGTCACATATAAGGCTTGCATTTCATTTTTTTTTTTACATTGAAATTTGCCAGATTGGTTATGTTGCCTTTGAGAGCGTATGGTAGCCCAGGAATAAGAATTACCCCCATGATGGCATACCATTTGCAAAAGTAGACAACCCAAGGTATTGCAAATGGGGTATGTCCAGTCATTTTTAGTAGCCACTTAGTCACAAACACTGGCCAAATATTATTTTTTTGCTTTTATCACACAAAAACAAATATGAATGCTAACTTTGGCCAGTGTTTGTGACTAAGTGGCTACTAAAAAAGACTAAACATACCCCACGTTCAATACCTTGGGTTGTCTACTTTTTCAAATGGTATGCCATTATGGGGGTAATTCTCATTCCTGGGCTACCACACCGTCTCAAAGGTAACATTACCAATCTGGCAAATTTCAATTTGGAAATGGAACGTTCTTTATTTGACCCTGTAACTTTCCAAAACACCATAAAACCTGTTAATGGGGGTACTGTTGTACTCGTGAGACATCGCTGATTACAAATATGGTCATTCTTTTGCAGTAATACCTAACAGTATTATGACATTAACAGCTAAAATGTCAGACGTAAATACAAATTTAAAAAAAAAATCTTATTTTCTCAATTTTTTTTATATTTTATTCATAACAAATTATGTTCCATATATGAATAGTTAATGATAAATTAAAGCCCTGTTTCTCCTGAACAAAATGATATAAAATAAGTGTGGGTGCACTTAATGTGACAGCGGTGAATTACGGGTGAACAGACATATAGCGCAAATTCCAGTTTTTGTTTACGTTTTGTTTTGATCAGAACGTGTACTATTGGCTCCGTCCTGAAGGGGTTAAATAAGTAAACAATGCATCTGTCAGTGATTAACATTTACAGTGAAACACACATGTATTAATTTAAAGAAAAACACAGATACCAATATCAGAATCACACATACCTCTCCCCCAAAAAGCTACCTCAGGGACCAATAGGTTTATCAGGGAAATAATCATTGAAGGCAACATGATCAGGGGCATTAACATGATAATGTGGAATCCATTCATTATGTGACATGCATAACCCTTCCATTTAATGTAATATTCAACCCTATCATAACGAAGCCTAATATCAAGTTTCCTGATCAATCATGGTAGCATTTACTCATGGGTTACTATTCCCCTTACAGCAGAAAGGACAGGAAATAGAACTCTGAAACTGGTATAAAAGGATCCTCCCCCTTCCCATTAGGCAGTCTTTTTTCCTGTCATTCACA